GCTGGGAAGGGCGCTAGTGGTAGAAAAGTGTTCATCGACCATGATTACAAAGAGGTTATTCGAGCACATTACAGTGTCTTGCAGAGTACACAACTAATGCAACCGTACATTGATGAACACTTGGCTATTGTTATAGCGGAGAGAAATGGTCGTTCAGATGATTGGGTCATGAAATAGCACAAGCAACGACTAATTACATGGTTGAAGGACCAAAACATACCGCCTGGAGAAACTATAGACTCTATTATCATCAGTAGGTTCACGGAGGGGCCATCGAGACAAGTGACATCTTGGAATGCTTATGACATCAATGGGTATACGTACTATACCCACGCAAAGTATAGTAAATATGTGAACCAAAACAACGGCGTTCGAATAGAAGCTCTCGATGGAGTGGGGCGAAAGATCCAATACTTTGGCATCATTGAAGAGATATGTGAACTTAATTATGGAAGGGATATAACGATGGCCCTATTTCGATGTCCGCTGGATCAAACAACACCAACTGAACGAGATCGGATTGAGAGTCCTAGATCTCAAGAATCTAGGCTACCAAGATGACCCTTGGGTGCTCGCTTCACGTGTCACACAAGTTTTCTATATGCCTAACCCACAAAGTAACCTCTCCCGAAGAAGAAGACAAAGCACGTGGTTGCCTCTGGGAAGCAGCACATTATCGGAGTTGATGGCGTGGACGATGTTGAAGTTTAGAATAACTACGATGAGATGCCGCTATTCACATACTTTCCTAAGAAGATCAGTGTTGTGGAAAAGAACCTAGCCAAAGACATATTACCATGGGAACGAAAAGGTGTCAAGGAAAAAGTCGTTACAGCAGGCTAGCTAGTTGTTGAACGTGGACTGTTTGTGTAAGTGTGTGTTTGTAAGATTTCATTTATGCATGTGTGTGAGACTATATATTTATGTATGTGTGTGAAACTATAGATTTATGTATGTGTGTGAGACTACATTTATGCATGTGTGTGAGACTACCCTTTCTCCCTCGTACTAACTCCAAATGTGATGATTTTTTTTCTAAAATTTTCTAAAATCATTCCCTATCAAGTTACTATGTTGATTTGATCATTCTTTTCATTTGACAAAGTTTGAGAAATTCAAATTTTCAAATTTTAAAAAATGACAAGTTCTAACGAGATTTTCAACAATTAAATGATTAAATCCATGCAGCAACCACTGGATTTGTATATGCATCGATGTCAGAAGGAGCATGACATGGGTCTTTGATTCAATAGATAGGGACCCGTTGACATACAAAGACTTCATATCGATTCTCAAGATGTATACATATCGACAATCCTCATTAGCTTATATGTTTGTATACATACTTGTAACGTTTACTTTTAGATACTAACAAGTTGTATTTGCTAAAATAATTCGAACATGATATTTAGGTTCTATATCACTAAACATCACGGAAGACATGATCCAGTAAGGAAGGAAATACTGGCTATAAAAACACTATGTGCGATAAGTGTAATTTACTTCTTCAGTATTGACCCGGTGACATACAAAGACTTCATATCGATTCTCAAGACGTATACATATCAACAATCCTCATTAGCTTATATGTTTGTATACATACTTGTAACGTTCACTTTTGAATACTAACAAGTTGTATTTGCTAAAATAATTCGAATAGGACATTTAGGTTCTATGTCACTAAACATCACGGAAGGCATGATCCAATAAGAAAAAAAAGGTTGGCTATAAAAACACTACGTGCGGTAAGTGTAACTTACTTCTTCAGTACTCCATTACATGGCTATCAAAAGCATTATTTAACATTTCTATATGCAAAACACACAGTGCCCCAACCAGAAGCCTGGGAGTGTACATTGTGGATACTATATATGTTTTATGATGAGTAACACCGGTGCCTACAGGAGACACCCCTTAAGGATAAGTTTGAACCTCTTCACCCGTAGTATAAAAACTTCACATATGGTATGAAATACTAAACCAAAACTTGTTCTCTTATAGTGGAAAGAAGAGAAAGAAATGAAAAGAGACCCATACAAGGATGATCAACTCTTAGAGCTCGTCAGCGACCTTTGTAACTTCATATTGGACCAGATTATACACGTCAAAGGCACCTACCATGACCGAGATTCTGACTTAGGTAGAAATCCTCAGTACCAACACCTTCGTAAGACTGAAAGGGTAGTTATAGGCCATTGATAACAATGTGTATGAAATTTGACATTGGTCTTGTAATTGCAGTTTATATTGGTCTTGTATATATTCTTGTGAATTGGACTTGTAATTGTAGTTTATATAATACTTTTGGACTCTTGGACTTGTACTTTGGAGCAAGGTATGTGTCGGCTAGCTGTGCTCCCTGCCGTGCCCTTCCCTACCTTTTGCTTGCGCTTTCCTTTCCTCTCACGTCGCAGGCGCCGTGCGTGGTCTCGATCAGCGGGGGGGCGAAGGAGATGCCCGTGCGCGTGATAGATTGATTGATTAGCCGATCTTGAATTATATATGCATATATATATATATATGTGTGTATATATATATGTTCTGTAAATTTAAATTTGAATTTTCTTTTTGTGGAAAAATGTACTGTTTCGCCTCTATAAACAGGTATTATAGAAGCGGCTACAGCCGTCCCTACAAATCAATTTATAGGAGCAGTCTGTGAATCGCTCCTACAAATACATGATTTGTAGAGGCATCTGGGTAGGGGCGGCTGGGCAAACTGCCCCTATAAAGCCTCTAGAGCCACCCCTACACAAGGTTTATGTAGTAGTGGGTACAACTGGACAAAGATGTAGAGAGTAGTAGATGTATATGATCGAGCCGCCGGCCGGCTGCTTGAAAACATGCAGCAGCACGCAGCTGTTTTCAGGTTACAAATAAGACAAGTGTATGTAATTTGGTCTGAAAAGCAGCTAAATAAATTTGTAGTCCTATATATTGTCATTCACTCGGCCTCATGTGATTTTTTTTTAAAAGTAGCGTCTGCATTATGTTTATAAGTATTATATTATATATACACGAGAGGGACAGAGAGGGGAGATTCGATTTCCATGTGCATATCTGGTTTTATATGCATTCCGGGACGCTATAGGCTTGGCAGCCAGCAATATATACGGCTGATGCCTGAATCACAAAACTCAGTGGGTTTCGGCTCATAGGATTTATATACTCACTCCTGTATTAGATGTTGATTTCGATTTCGATTTCGATTTCGACTTGATTGCCTGCATACGTCACGTCTCTGCCTCCTAGTTAACAAATAATATGCCTGCCTGCTACCTGTATTATATTATTATTACATATATACATAGCCCTCTGCATTATTACTTTGTAATAAGGCCAAAACAAAACCCTGATCGTGTTTTGTTCTCTGTGTGCCATCCATCGATCGATCGAAGATGGATGCCTGTACATGAATCATGCATACAGCCATTTCCATACATTGCATGATACATACAATCCAAATTGCTCAATTAATTAGCTAGTAGCATCTAAATGATGATTATATATGATGCGTGCAAGCCGAGCACAGCTTATACATAGCCTGGATTAGATTCGTATGCATGTTCGGATGTTCCATTCGTTAACCCGCAGCCAATTGATGATGAATTAACTCTCTACAGATGAATTAAGGGAATGTACTACAATACAAGTGCTTGGACGTACAATATTGTGTCAAGCTCTTCCTTACCATTGATGGACCAGCAAGAGGGTTGGAAGAGTCTCATGCAACTCGAAACTTCTGACATCTCAACCTCCCAAGTAAATATAACCCCATCTAGCCTTTTTTGCTGTCAACATATGGCTCCTTGTTTTTAAAGCGAGGCATATGCGAGTTTTAAAGCACATAACAATGAAGCAACGATGTCAAGCTATCAGTTGTTTTTGTTTTAAGGACGATATTGTATAGGGCTGTCTTTCAAGAAACTCTCGATTTTTCTTACAACGAGCACGCTGAAGTTTGTGTCGTTGCATCTTGGTCAAAGACTGAAGGGCGCCACCTTGGTTCGAAGTACTTGGACTCTAGCTTACTACTCTCGACTTCATTTCTACCTGCAGAGGCAATTTTGCTCCACGTTTTGCATAGTGGATTGATGAGCCTGGTTCTCACTGACAATTCGCTCTTTGATCTCTTTAATCGAGACCTCCATAGAGCCAATTATATACAAGATACTCTTGTTTGATGCCTTGCATAGGTGTAGCAGGAACCTCCTTGTTAGGCACATGAATTTGTTTAAGAGTCGATTCATCGAGACGTCCTTTGATTGATATACTTATTCAAAAGTCGGACAAAAGCTTATTGTAATTGCATCTCGTTACTAAAATTCTTGACCTTATTATTTATCTTCCACGTTTTAATCTCCAGTGGCCTTGGTTTGGAGGTGCGCAGGGGGTCTTTGATCCACCTTTATTAGTCCCATTTAAGAAATTGGTATTACTGTTTTTTGTTGTTTAATGCCGTAGACAGCAACCATTTCATATAAACGTTTTGCTCTCTGTAGCGGGAGTTTTCACTTGCCTTCCAAGCCCAGAAGACCTGACAGTGATTTTGATATTCTCCTGACCATCCAAGGACCCCTTGAACACGATTTCATGGCCCAAAGTCTTTTCAATCTTGCTGTCTTTCATAGGATCTATAAGGTGTTACGTCAGCATCTTTTTTTTTTAAAAAAAAAGGTTGAGTTATAAAACAAAACAGAAACCACCCATAGTATATATTTTAAAATAAATGGAATAGAAATGGACTTACTGTTACTCTCTCCGTATATCTAAATGCATAGTAAATGGATGTAAAAAAATGTTAAAGTAACTTATAATTTGGAATAGAGCGAGCAGTAAACAGGAAAGCTCATGTGTATAAATATAGGCAGCGCGAACGATCGAGCAGGTAGCTAAGCAGAGAAGAAAGAGGGAGGGGGAGCGGTTGGCACGAACGGACAGGCACCGCGCGCGCGCCTTGCAATCCATCATTCCAGAACCAATCATCAATCAAGCACATGATGGCGCAACCGGGCGGCCCAGGCGGGGAGGAGGAGATGGAAGGCGGGGGCCGGCATCGGCAGCAGCAGCAGCGGAGGAACGACGACGAGGCGTGGCGGAGGTGGGCGGTGCTGGTGGCGACGGTGTGGATCCAGGCGCTGACGGGGACCAACTTCGACTTCTCGGCCTACTCGTCGGCGCTGAAATCCTCGCTGGGTGTCTCCCAGGAGGCGCTCAACTACTTAGCCACGGCGTCGGACCTGGGCAAGGCGCTGGGGTGGTCGTCGGGCCTGGCGCTGCTCCACATGCCGCTCCACGCCGTGCTCATGGTCTCCGCCGCCATGGGGCTCGCCGCCTACGCCGTCCAGTACTACTGCCTGGTCGCGTCCGTCGCCGTCCCCTACCCTCTGGTACGTGCGTGCGTGTCGTCGCCATTGTCATTGCTTGGCGGCGTGTCCAGCTGATGTTCGATCGTTGAGGTTGAGCCGTGCTTGGCAGGCAGTGCATATACGAGTATATGTCAGTCACCCTCATCAATTACCGGCCGTCTCGATCGTTTCGTTTAGTCTATGAGACAGAAAGAAATAAATAACCAATAAAATAATAAAAGAAGATAGGAATAGACAGAGACGACGATGGAGACTGATGAGGATTGGACCGGAGGGAGCAGCAGCAGCAATGGCTAATGGCCGGTGGAGCAGAAAAACGATGCCGGGTCCGGCCGTCCGGGTGGTGCTTGTGCATGCCGCTCGTCCTGGTCCTTCCCTCGGTCGCCACGACCATGCCGGCCCCGGCCTTTAGGCCGTGACAGTGAATTCTTGTGAAATTTCTACGAGATTCTATAAAATTCTTGCGTTCCAAACAGGGCCTTAGGTTTATGATCCGATCCCATTCTCACCTTCCCTCTGCTTTGTTTTCCCTTTCCTTGCGTTTATGATCCATCATCAACCAGCAGAGTATCCAGCAATAGTTAAGATATATACTTCATCAACAGCCACCCAACCAACCAGTACATTTCAAAGTCAGTCTCAAGTCTGAACTGAATGTTATCTCCAACTAACTGGACTCTGCTTTCCTCCTACCAGTCTGCCTCTGCTCTGCTTTTGACTGCTAGATGAGCCACCTGCACAACACGCGCGCACCCACACACTTCTGCTTCTTTATTTGTCTAACCTTACAAAAACACATCCTCCAAACTGTATACATTTCTCTTCTTTTTTCTGGTATATATCTTGTTCATTGACAGGTGTGCCAAATCCTAAAACCCTTCTCCATCTCTCAAACAGTGACCACATATTCCATCAACTGGCATCAGGGAATCAACATCCTGGGGAAGTGTACAATGTTCTTGCTTCTGTTAACAAGCAAACCACACAAATTCATTTCCCCACAGTATCAGCAGGACACTATCTTTATACAAACTAAAAAGTCTTGAAGGACTAGGACTAGTTCATACACACAGCTAGGTAGGTTCTCAGCCACTGCCAAAAAAAAGTCACCCCCACCGGCATCACACACGCATGAGGCATGCCATTCCATTCTCACAAGTCAGAGCTGCATCATCCACCTACTCCACACCTTCCTTCAATACATTCAGGAGAAATATGTGGCATGTCACAACACATAAATGGAATCACAAAGTTTTAAGGTCACATTGCCACAGTGCCGTTACAAAATACTACAGTATTTGATACCTAACCTCAATTCCCTGCTCAGCTACTCAATGCCTACCACATATCTGGGTACTGGGAATTGTTGAGGAAAATGAGATTAGATGTCCCATTCCAAGCACGTTTTAAAAGCATTCATCACTACATCTTCAAAGGAAAATAAAAAGGATGTACATTCTTCTAGTAGTAAAATGCATTCCAGACCCTATAGATAGGCCTCCCAGCATGGAAATCAACCCTGCAGTTTTCAGTAGATAGTCTATATTAGCACACCGGTTTTCTTGACAAACTGATTGCAAACACTTCACTCGAATGTATTCAAGCCAAGATGTAGAGACGACATAGGTTAAATTGTCAATTACAGCCATAACATGCAAATGCAATTTATATTAAACTTAATTATTTCATCATATTCTGATTCATATGTTGGGCTGCAGGTGTTCTTGGTCTGCTTGATAGCAGGGTGCAGCATCTGCTGGTTCAACACAGTATGCTTTGTTCTCTGCATACGCAGCTTCTCTGCAAACAACCGCTCCCTGGCCCTCTCCCTCTCAATAAGCTTCAACGGGCTCAGCGCTGCCTTCTACACTCTCTTTGCGAATGCCCTCTCCCCTTCCTCCCCAGCTGTATACCTCCTCCTCAATGCAATCCTCCCTTTTGGTGTCTCTATTCTTGCACTCCCAGCAATCCTCCTCTGCCACACAAATGACCAACCACCTCCAAAGTGCGCCCAGGCATGACAGGCGTGTCTTCCTCGGTCTCTACATCCTCGCATTCATCACCGGCATATATCTGGTGGTCTTTGGATCTTTCACCGCAACCGGCTCTACTGCATGGGTCATCCTCACAGGTGCCATGGTCCTCCTCGCCCTTCCTCTCATCATCCCTGCCTGCTCCAGTTGCTCTCATGTGGATACAGATGGCCCTAACCCTGCATCGCCACTAAACCATGATGATCCACATAAGCCACTCCTAATCAGTAACAATCATCAGATGGAGTCCAATGCGATGGTGCAAAAACCAATGGAGCACCAGACGCAGGGCAATTGTTGTGGAACAATAGTGGGCAAGGGCCACCTGGCGGCGCTCGGTGAAGAACATAGTGCAAAGAAGCTCATTCGGTGTGTGGACTTTTGGCTCTACTACACAGCCTACTTCTGTGGAGCCACTGTTGGCCTGGTATACAGCAACAACTTGGGGCAGATTGCACAGTCATTGCAACAGCAGTCACAGCTCACCATGCTACTTGCTGTCTACTCATCCTGCTCCTTCTTCGGTCGTCTTCTTTCTGCACTACCTGACATCCTTCACAGGTATCTGTTTTGCTTTATACACAAACATATATCTCATCATATCACATGCTTCCTAACTAAAATTTGTATACAGGAAGGTATCACTTGCTCGCACAGGGTGGCTTGCTGCTGCATTGGTCCCCATGCCAATGGCCTTTTTCCTTATGTGGAACCAACAAGATGCAATCACCTTGGTAGCAGGAACAGCACTAGTTGGCCTAAGCTCAGGGTTCATCTTTGCTGCAGCAGTGTCGGTGACCTCCGAGCTCTTTGGACCAAATAGCGTTGGGGTGAATCACAACATCCTAATCACTAATATCCCGCTGGGCTCATTCCTCTATGGCCAGATTGCTGCCATGGTATACGATGGAAATGGCCAAAAGATAACAGTAATGGATAACAGCACTGGCATTGTTGACACCATGATTGTGTGCATGGGGATGAAGTGCTACTCAACCACCTTCTTCCTGTGGGCTTGCATCACATTTCTGGGGTTAGCATCAAGCATAGTTCTATTCATACGAACAAAACCAGCTTATGGTGCTGCTGCTAGCCGGTCAAGTTGTAAGCACCTTCACCAAGTTTCCAGTTAACAGAGAAACTCCTTTATCAGTTCCTTACTGATTTGAAACCACAGTTAGCTTGTACAAAAAAATTGACTTAGTTCTAGGTGAAATGGGCTAGATACAATACACGAAATGAATACCATGACAAGAGACATCAAGAGGATAGAAAATTATCAGCTTATCAGCTGGTATGTAAAGTACAACCAGTATTACCTTTACAACTGGGATACTAACAAGTAGGCCCAAGGTTGGATGAAGTCAGTTTGGAATGTTTATTACTGGTTGACTGAGACATGTGCAAAATCCTCTGTATTTACTGTTGTTATGTACGTTGAAATTTCAACCAATGAAAACATGGCATTTCAAAGGAACGAATTATTTTTTTTAAAGTACTTCTCACGGTAAATTTAGTAACATCTATACCTTAAATAATCAACCTAATAATTCTTATACATTTATGATCAAAGTTAAAAAAGTTTGATTGACAAGAATATTCAGACTTGGAGCTAGTGCTACTTAACGACGTATCACATGGTAGAGTTCAGAGCAAATAACTTATCTTTCAATCTTTGTCAGGGCAATAACGTTTACATTAAATAAGGAGGGCAGCGAGTTCTCTAAATAGCAGCAAATGACATGAAAGTTCTAAATTTTGGAAGGATGTCCCAGATGGACCACTCCAGTGAGCTGTAATAAAAAAAGAAATATAATTCAGTATGGAGCCCATGGAGCATTCGATTCAGGCAAAGAAATGGACCTTTGTCACCTTTCTGAACCTATAATTTTGTTATTATATTGTTAAATAGCACAGTAGAAAGCGAATCCAGTGTGGACACATGCCTATGAACCTTTAAACATTCCTGGAAGCTACCATCCAGCAATTTCAGATTAGTAGGAGAGAATATTCACTGGAATGCAAAAAGAATCACATTTGTATTACTTCATTTGAGGGGTTACAACTGGAGGATGTGAATGCAAATACTTGAACAAAACAAAGATGATCGGAAAGTAACAGCTTAATAGCTGATATGTTAAAGTACAAAACCAACACACCATTCACAGTCCACAGAGCATGAATACTAACAAGTTTGCCCAAGATAGCATGAGTCAGTTTAGACTGTTGTTGCCAGTCAAATAGAATTGTGTGCAAAATGCTCCATGTTTACTGTTTTTATGTTATACTTAATGGCTTAAAGTATGCAGGACTTCGGAGATTGGATCTGATTGGCATTTCAGCTTTCTGCCTAAAATGAAGTCAAATAACTTCTCTTTCAACTTTCAATCTTTATTAAGGAGATACTGATACAGCAAACAGGGGATCAATGAGTTCTTCAAATAGGACAATATGACAGAGAAAGTTTAACTTTTGCAAGAATGGTCAGGTTGGACTACTCAGGTGTTGAAAAGGAACAAAACTTCATTGAGCAATAGTTGAAAAGGAACTACACTTCAGCGCGGGATCCACAGAGTATTCAATTATTGTACAAACAGACATACAACTTTCACCTCTTTCTATACCTACAATTTCGCTGTTATAATGTTAAAATAAGTAATAACAAATAACAAGTGAAATCCAGTCTGAAAGTGTATAGGTTGTCCCCTCGAAAAAAGAAATAGCTCCGTTACCTATAGGCCTTCAACCTTTCCTGGAAGGTAACATCCATCCAGGCATCCAGCAATTTCCGAAAAGTAGTACAAATTATTCACCAAATGCAAAAGACTCACATTCATATTACCTCGTTCAAGGGCCTACGAATGGAGGATACAATCACTTGACAGGACACATGACTCATGACTATTTCTTCTGTTGTTCATCATGCTTGCGCCATGGGTTCAGGGCTTCCCTCATAGCTTGGGCCTCTGGACTGCTTTCCCAAGCTCGTTTTTCTGACTCCAAGACAACAACCTTATCATCTGTACATATAACCATGGAGAAAAAAAAAGATAGATATATGTAAGATGCCTTCCTATGCAGAAGACAAAAAAATAGAGAGCCTGACAGGATGAATGGTACTAGGTAATCTGAACTCGTTGTGTGGCCACCAAAGTATCAGAAGTTTGGATTGTTGTTACATGGGAAGATGCACTGAACCAACAACTGGTGATTCGTGGTAAATTTGGGTACTTTGGCAATTAACCAATGACTTAAACAAGCCCATTAGTTTCATCGTCAACCATCAGCTGGTCTGAATTTGGATGACGGGAAAAATGCAAGTGCCAATTGGATCTAGAAGTGCAGCAATGCTGCAGTTGAAAATTAGAAAACTTAGCAATCTGCCTAAAGCTACCTACAGATTAAAAAAAAAAACTGGGGGCCGGATGTATGCTCTCAGATGGACAGCCAATAATAATTGATTCAAGTGTGATTGACTATTAGAAATCAGAAATATAAATTATAAGGGTGAGGGGAGTTGGATGCTGAGCAGAGCAGTGAGGGAGAAGCGTACAGAAGCCCGTGTGGATCATGAAGAGCTCCATGGCGGCGCCAATGGAGGCCCCGACCGCCGCGATCTTCAGGTACCAGCCTGCAAACCTCATGCATGCACCCTCTGAATTCGTCCTTCGGTCAGGTGGAGTTTGCTCCTAAAAACTGCAAGCGGCGACCGACGCACAACGCGGCATGAATCAAAAGGCCAATCCCATGGATAGAATGGATGACTCTCGCATCGAGAACGAGTGTGCTTGTGGGGGATAAGGTACCGTCGAAGGGGCGTTGGTACTTACGGGTCGGAACTCGGAAGATAGTGCCTAGTGGTGGCCGGAGTTGGGGACGAGGACGGGGACGACGGAGATCAAAGCAGCGGCGGCGGCGGCGGGTTTCTGGTGGAGAAGAGTGGGGGCAGGGGCAGGGCAGTGGTGTTGGGCTCATTGAACTAATTCCACATTGGCCCATGGCGGCCTAGTAGGGAAGCCCACCACGACATGTACATACTTGTCGACATGTTTGTTTATTTATTATTTATTTTTCCAATCAACGACTCTTTGAATATTGTGAATCAACTTCTAGAAAAAAAATGGCACGGTTTGTTTTGTCCATAAATTTTTGAAATATTATAAATTTTATTTTTCTTAAAATGGTACGGTTAACATCCTTAATACGTTTTTTGCTATCAATTCTTAGTATTTTTTTAAAGTAAAAGACAGCCAATTAAGAGAAAAGAGGTTTATGTACATATGGTACCCACTATGCCAAAAAGACTGGTCTTAAGACCAAAGAGTTACATGCATGTCAGTGCTAGTTCACCTCTCCAGCCACAACCATTGCCCTATGTCTCTACGTTATGTCCTCTTTGGTCATAGAGGCCACCTGATACGCTGTCTTGTGTATATTTTCGAAGATCCTCCTATTTCTCTCCTTCCACAATTCTTAGTTTGTTTATACTATTATAATTAATCGTTAGAATTAGTGTAGTGCTGACTAGAGCGAGTATACGCTTCTTTATTGAAGTGTAACTGAAAATAAGATAGCAAGGGGCAATATGACTGAAATTATTTGAAATGATCGTTGAAGGCGAGTAGCAGTCTCGAAAGATCTATTGGGCAGACTTGCTCCAAGAACCACACATATCATTTGATTCATCTGAAAACCTTCTCCACATGGGGCCATTGGAATCCAGTTGCACGGCCATGGTTCACACAAAACATTCCAAAATTGTCAGGTTGCTGACGTTTCTACATTTAAGCAGTCAGTATCAGCATCTCCAAGACCACTTGCCCAAATGAATACGATGCTTTGAGATGCCAATCGGTGGACAGCAAACGACCCTTGGTAATTCTGCACGATTGCAGTTTGCAGGAAGAAAAAAAAAGAGTCGTTTTTCTCTATCCACCGATTTAAATCCTAGTTCAAATATAATATGGATCGTACATATAGTGCTTTCTACAAGAATTACACCGTATTTTTTGTGAAATTCATGCATTTGTGGCCACATGTCCTGTCCTGTCTGTCTGGACTCTGAAGTAACCATTTGGCTGAATAGGAGGCTCTCGCTCTCGCGCGCATGGCGACCTCGCCGCCGGTGACGGTGAGGGCGGTCGCCTGCGCTCTCACCCTGACCCCGTCATCACGGCTCAGCCGCGCCTCCTTTCGCAACTGCCTCGCACAGCGCCGCCGCCGCCGTTGGCCCCCTCGATGTAGCGGGAAGCAAGCCGCCGTGGTCGAGGAGGAAACAGCTTCTTCGCGGGAGGCCAAGAGCGGGGAAGGGGACGAGGGGCGTGGGGTCCAGGGCTGGTTTGCTCTGGATACGATTGGGCTGGACATTCTCAGCATCGCTCTGCCCGCCGCCCTCGCGCTCGCCGCCGACCCCATCGCGGCGCTCGTCGACACCGCCTTCGTCGGTCACTTAGGTGAAGTAAATCTTTCCCCTTTTCCTCAATTTCTGCCTTTTTCTGGGGTCAGTTTGTGGACTGCTGAATGCTGATACAAGTCTCATACTGTACTTCAGATGGAAACATTTTATTGATCTTTCCTGTTTTTCCTAGTCAATGAGCATTCACTGATGTTTAAATACCCACAATTTTACTGTCAATCAGGTTCAGCCGAACTTGCTGCTGTTGGTGTATCAATTTCAGTCTTCAATTTGGTGTCCAAGCTGTTTAATGTGCCCTTGCTTAACGTGACTACATCCTTTGTTGCTGAGCAGCAAGCAACGGATGATGGTTATACTGGGACAAGAGAAGGTAAGCTGCTGAAGATTTCGGAACATCTGTTAAAAACAACACCACTATTTGTGTTACACTAATCTGTTATTTAGTTCTCGCTTAGGATACGACTTTCCAAGGTCTCCTGAGGAGGTGACCACGAAAAGGAAGTTTCTTCCAGCAGTATCAACATCACTGGCTTTAGCTGCTGGTATTGGGCTGTTGGAAACTGTGGTGCTGATTTTTGGATCGGGCACACTAATGGACATGATCGCCGTACCTACTGTAAGTATAAGAATAGCTTCATTTCTTTCAATTCTCAGAACTTTAGTATCGACTACTTGACGCCCAGTTGGTTATCCGCTTAGCCAGTACTTTTTTTATCTTCATGAGGAAATGTGTCAAGTTAATATGATATTGCATCAGTTAGACAGTTTTTTTTTCTCTCAAAACGCAGGAGAATTGCGCTTCATGAAAAAAGGGGAAGAAACCCCATACAACACACAACACACCAAACCCAATTACAAAGACTTACACATGCGCCTGTGAGAACATAGAGGCGACCAGAACTAGAAAAAAGCCTTAGGTTACAGAATCACAGGGGGGAGGGATGGGGGTGGGGTGCCAAGAAAGACATCCCCGAGCCCCAGCCAAAGCCCACAGCCGACACTCCTCCAAAGCAAAACCCAAAGTACCAGCTAAGTTTGGAGCAGCCCCATCAAAAACACAACTATTACAATGATTCCATAAAGTCCAGGCTCCTAGGATCACAAGAGAGTTGAAACCTTTCTTTGTTAACCCAGCAGTAGCATTGCTTTATCTTTCCCACCACAAATCAAAGGATGAATCTGTAGGCTGTGGGGAAAACTGATGGATACCAAAATGCTGAAATAGAGAGAACCAGAACTGCCGAGTGAAGACACAAGGTACAAGGAGATGATTGATGGTTTCCTCCTCTTGATCGCAGAGAGGACACTGCTCCAGTTGTGGCAGCCCCTGCCTTGCCAGCCGATCTGCCGTCCAGCACCTATCATGTGCAACCAGCCACATGAAGAAACGGCACTTGGGTGGAGCCCAAGATTTCCAAATCCTCTCATAAGGGCCAAACTGAGTAGACCCAATGAAAAAACTTTCATAAGCAGACTTGGCCGAGTACTGTCCACTAGAAGAAAAACGCCAAATGTGAGAATCCTCAATATCTGGCTGTAGCTGAAAATCATAGATGAGATCCCATAGACAGAGAAAATCCAATATTACTTCAACTGATAGGTCACCACGAATATCCATAACCCAAGAACGGTCAGCCATAGCTTCCTCAACCGCGCGTCTATTTGCTATTCTCTTAAGAACAACAGCTAAGAAAACGAGGGGCAAGGTCCGCAATGGACTGGCCATTCAACCACCTGTCCGTCCAGAAAAGGGTGTTTGCCCCGCTGCCAACTACTGAGATGACGGCTAATTTAAAGAAAGTTTGAACCTGTCCGGGCACTTGGACTTGTAAGTTCGCCTAGGGCCTGTTAGGTTCAGTTTTCTTAAGCCAAATCCAGCGCATCTGCAGCGCCCAACTGACGCTTTTCAGGTCTGAAATTCCCAAGCCCCCTAGCTCAGGTGGACAGCAAGCCTTGCCCAAGCCATGAGACAATGCCCCCCTTTTGCTTCTTTTCTTCCCCTCCAAAGGAATCCACGCCTGAATTTATCCACAGCTTTAATGGCCCAAGGGAATCCACGCCTGAATTTATCCTTTGTGACGGAAGGTCCCGAGTTTAATGGTCTCCTCGCACAAGGCGAGGACACCTTGCCCAGGAGCGGGAGTCAATGTACGCCTTTAATGGCCCAAGGAGGGAAGTCAATGGCCATTACAAGATATACAAACATAGCAGTGAGCACAAATTGTACCTGCGCTCTCCTTCCTGCCCTTGTCATGAGGTCCGCTTTCCAACCTGGCAGCTGATCTGCAATCCTATCGATAATAGGCTGAATCTGTTCCTTGGTGAGCTTCTTAAGGGAGAGGGGTAAACCCAAATATTTGCATGGGAATTCTGAAATGGCACAAGGCAGCAGGTTTTGAATGGTGAGCAGCTCTGTGTCTCCGCACCTGATGGGTAAGACGTTGCTCTTTTGTAGGTTGGTTTTAAGCCCTGAAGCATCACCGAAAAGGTTGAGAATTCCCAAAACCAAATTAATGTCACCAGCTTCCGGTCTAAGAAACAACACCACATCGTCAGCATTGAGAGAGATTCTATGCTGCAGTACCCGCCTTGACAAGGGTTGTAAGAGCCCCTCACTTGCTGCCTTAGAGATCATGAGTCCTAGCACATCCATAACCAGGATGAACATCATAGGAGATAGGGGATCCCCCTGTCTCAAACCACGCTGGTAAAATATAGAGTTACCAGGAATTCCATTGAGCAGTACCTGTGTGGAGGAAGAAGCTAGCAGGCCACTGATCACATCTCTCCAAATTGGACCGAAACCCAAATGTTGCAGCACCTCGAGGAGAAAAGGCCAAGAAACTGAGTCAAAGGCTTTAGATATATCTAATTTGAGGAGAATTCGTGGCTGTTTTTGCTGGTGGAGGAATCTTGCTATTTGCTGAACCAACATGAAATTATCTTGAATAAAACGACCTTTTATGGAGGCACTCTGGTTGGGTGACACCAAGTGTTGTAGCCGACATGCAAGGCGATTGGCCAGCAATATACCTCATATTACTTGTTGAATTGAGGGCCATGACTAACTGTAATACTAACTCTTTATTTTAGTTTTAACATTTGACCCCAAGTTTTTTATTATCTGTAGTTCTTAAAGTATCTGTACTCACTGTCAAACCTCATGTGTTGTATATTATCTATGCAGGATTCTCCAATGTGAATACCAGCTGAGCAATTTCTTACATTTAGGGCATATGGTGCTCCACCGATCGTGATAGCACTTGCTGCACAGGGTGCATTTCGTGGGCTCATGGATACGAAAACACCTTTATATGCTGTGGATAAGATTATAGAAACTCTTTTATCTGCTAAAATGAACAAACTGGACCATGTGAAGTGTTGCAATTTATGTATTTCTTATAAGCAAATTCCAGGATGAAATGTCTTGTGCATGTAGTTGCCACTGCAGTGGTCTGTGCACCTAGTCCAGTGGTCATCTAGAAATTTAACAATAACAGACCTGTCATGTTATCAATTTTAGATTTAAAGTTCCCCATTAATGAGTGACAATAAGATTTAGGAAGTGACAGCTACCACAAATGCAAGTTCTGAGAAGTTTGTTGGCTTACCAGAGTTTGTTGTACTATGACTGCTTCTGCTTCCTCTTAATGAAACACATGCCATGAGGGCACGTTCGCGAAAAAGTTCTGAGAAGTTTGCTGTATGATTGTCTTAATTATGATGCTTTATGTAATTATGTTCCTGCAAACGACAAAAGTAAATATTTAAGCACTCTGGATGCAGGTGTTGGCAACCTGGTAAACGTCATACTTGACGCCATACTTGTTTTTCCACTTGGTTTAGGAGTTAGAGGTGCTGCCTTGGCAACAGTGACATCAGAGTATGTTGAATTCATTTTAAGAATTTCATGTGTTTCCTTTGTTGGATTGTCTTAATTCCTCCTTTTTCATCTCCATAATTGCACCCATGAGAACTAAATCCTTGGTACAACTATCTGCCTGTTGTCAGGTATGTGATTGCTTGCATCCTCCTCTGGAAGCTGAATAGTAAAGTAGTAATCTTTTCCCGAAATGTAATTGGTGGTGGAATCATACGTTATCTAAAATCAGGTTGGTGGATGCTCCAAATTTTTACTAACAAGTATTGATACAGGAGAGGTTTCTTTTGTTGCTAAAACTTTTTGTTGCAACTTTATTAATCTTTACTAGTTCAGAGCGGAGCTCCATGAGGCCATGATAGCCACTTTAACCGGAAACTATTCTGTAGGTGGACTTCTGATTGGCAGGACTATTGCAGTACTCCTGACCATGACACTGTCGACATCGCTGGCTGCATGAGAAGGGCCTGTTCCAATGTCCGGCCATCAGTTGTGCTTGCAAGTGTGGCTGACAATTTCTCTGCTCAATGATGCACTAGCTCTTGCTGGGCAGGTCTGTACATTTTACGTTACGTGACATTTCTCGTTTAGGGTCTTACATTACAAATCTGTATGTCTTCTGCTTTAAAGTGTCCATAATTCAATGCAGGCTCTACTTGCGAGTGAATATGCAAAAGGGAATTACAAGCAGGCTCGTTTGGTTTTATACAGAGTTCTGCAGGTTAATAATGCACTTTGAAGTTCAGAAATGCTGCTGGTCTCCAGTCATGAGCTGCTTGCTGATATGTTTTGTTATAAATGTAGATTGGAGGTGTAACTGGAGTTGCACTGGCTGTGGTTCTGTTCTTTGGGTTTGGGTCCTTCTCTGTGCTGTTCACAAGTGATCCGGCAGGTTTAGACATTGCCAAATCTGGAGTCTGGGTAATGAAGAATAATTGGAATAAAGCAACTGACTTTCAGAAGTAAAGCATGATATTGTTTATGCTCATTTTGACAATATGAACTCTTGCAGTTTGTCACTGTTTCTCAGCCGATAAATGCTATTGCGTTTGTGATCGATGGGCTGTACTATGGCGTGTCTGACTTCACCTATGCTGCATACTCTATGGTATGGATATCGTTTTCTATTGTATCCCCCATTAGGTTGTCATAACTAACCGTAGCGGGATTATGGCGTGCTTACAATTTTTGGCATCTGTGTTGCTCAGTTCTTTGTTGGGGCTGTTTCATCGGCATTCCTACTTGCTGCTGCTCCTAAGCTTGGTCTTTGTGGTGTTTGGTCTGGTCTAGTTCTTTTTATGAGCTTGAGAGCAGCGGCTGGATTTTGGAGGTAGTGCCCGATGTTCCAGCTGCTCCTTTCTAGAAATTTGGATAGCGTAAACCTTGGTGACTCATAGCATTTTGCTGTTGTGTGCAGGTTAGGGAGCAAAGGTGGACCATGGAAGCACATCTGGTCAGATACTAAACTGATAAATGACAAGAAATGACCATGTCTAGGTGATTCGACGGGAAGATGGAAACAAAGATCATTGACAGCTAACGGCAATTACATGTAAATAACCAGTAGAAGTTGTGTATGAAGTAGAAGAGTATTAACTGTCTAGGTCCTTATCTTACAATCATATAAATTGTGAACTACTACTAAGTTCAGACTTGAGGAAAAGGAAATATTCCTGTACTGGAGTCTTGGGGCACGTTTGGTTGGTTTGCGCGGCCAGCTCGCCTCGCCTCGCTCGGCTTTGCCAGCTGCGGAGAGCAGTTTTGGCTTGCTTGTGCTGGTGACGGAATTCTGGAAAGCGCAAGAACCGAGGCTGGAAGCAAACCAACCAAACGCTGTGTCTTGATGCCCAACCAAGCAAAAGGCAGAGCGAGACATCCAAACGTGCCCTTGAACAGAAGCAGCACGGAAGTCTTAAATTTTACAATTGTTTGTTTTTTTCCTTGTTTTCAGGTTAGGGAGCAAAGGTGGACCTTGGGAGTCTATCTGGTCAGATAGTGAGTAAAGCACAGATATGACCATGTGGATTCGATTGTTCAATTGATCTCCCACACTCCCACAGCCAGCAGGTAAAGGGTAATGGTAGCAAGAAATGTGCATACTGCTGCAGGTCATATATAGCCCTGCGTAACAGGTAGCTGATGTAGCTCTGTCGAAGATGTACACTTGTAGTTGGTGACTTGGTGTTGGATGGCTGGGCTGTCTTGTTCTGGCTGTTGTAGGAGACTAGTAGGAGCTCACAGCTTTCAACTGTACTAGGAAGCTTAGTTATATTATATAACAAAAAAGAAAGAAAGAAAACCGTGTTCCAATAGAAAATCCCTTCCTGTAAATTTCATTCTGGAAATCCTCCCTGTAAATGAAATTTTGTCCAACATTCTAGGATCTGTACATCTGGTAATCATTTTTGGCACTATATAAACTCAGTGATTATCTGAAATAGAAGAATCTGAGTTGGTCGTTCCAATATTGTGCACGTGCATCTGTTAGGTACATGGACCTGGAGAGACATAACGTCAATCTTATAAAACAGGTAACACTGCTAGCGTTGGGGGCATCGAAGATTCAGGAGAGAACAATTCGTCTTCCTCATACATCTCTCTTCACTCAAAGCTTCCTCTTCTTTACTTGGAACCTTCCAGGACCTTCTTGGTGTTCTTCTCTAGATCCTCCATCCCCAATTGCTTGCTGAACCCCAAACCTCCCTCTTCACTCGAAGTTGTTTGTGAACCAATCGAGAAGGGATCATCGGACATTGCAAATTTGCTACGATGAGGATGCTAGACCGACAGTAGGCTAGAGGCCCATAGTGAAGACGAAACTAACAGGCCCAACCCAAACAGCCAATTATTAGCCCAGGCAGAGCAGAGGATATTCCTTTTCTGTGTAGCATGATAGAGAGGGAGGGGAGCCGCAGAGACCAGAGAACAGTGAGCGGAGCAGAGGAGAGGAGAAGGCGGCCAGCCGGAGGCAGACGCGGAGAGGAGGAAGAGGAATCGAGCGAGGATGCCGTGCCTGAACGTGTCGACCAACGTGAACCTGGAGGGGGTGGACACCTCCGCCATCCTCGCCGAAGCCTCCAAGTCCGTCGCCAATATCATCGGCAAGCCAGAGGCTGTAAGCCTCCGCCTTTCCCTTCACCCGGACTTCTCTCTTCCCCTCTGGTTCTGCTTCCCCTTCCGTCTCTTGTTGCTTGTGTAGGCAGGCTCTTGTAGATTGTGGGTCTATTTGGTTGGTGGAGATTATGCTTCCTTTTTTTTAATTGGCACTTGACACTTGGCAACCTGTTAGGGTTTTGAGCAAGATGTGCATCGCTGTATGACACCTTTCTGTACGTTATCAATCAATTGACCGTGTTTATTGATGCTAGTTTAAAGAGAATTCGTGTGAATCAGTAAATCTCCCGATTTTTCTACATGGGGAATTTTTTTTTACCTCTACTAGGCTTTTATTTTGGGGGAATATCCTCTAGGTGCATTATGGACGCCCCGATGTTGATTTTCACTGAACTCAGTGGAAAACTTTGTTAATATTCACATTACAGCCTAGAATCCCTAGGATGAGACTGCAATTTCCTGCATATCCTGGCCATGCTTAAATTGAGTTCATATATAAATAAATCGTAGTTTTTTTTTTCATTTTAATAGTTTCAGCATTGAGGGAGACAACTATAGATAACTCAAGTATGAGACTGAATCCCTAGTCTCTATCTAAGAACTGATATACTGACCATTGTCATCACGCAGTACAAGGAATGCCAAACCATCTGCCTACCATTTTCACTATCCTACCAATCTGATTATGGAACGGAAATGCGGTATATTAAGACATTGAGAACAGATGCATTTACAGCAAACTAACTGATGAAAGTTTATGCTCACAGTTTTCTGGAACAGATTTCTATCAACCAGCAACCCCTTAGTGTACCATTCTTCAGCACTAATCTCTAGTTCTATGTGGACCATGGGCTGCGTGTGCTTTTCCTTTATGTTACCCTAGTACTACAGCCATCAATTTTACATAGATGAAATTTGAAAGTTCATGTTTATCAGTCACTGTGTTACTCTTTCTCAGGCAGCTGCTTTAGTTCAGTACATAAATTTTTATGCCCTGTACTAGAGGTCACAGCTTTTCATTTTCTGTTAGCCGTTTAGTCCATTTAGTGTTAGTCGGGCAGCTGCTTTGCTACTATCAAGGGCAAAAAAATGACCTCTCTGAATACATCATTTTGAAGGGCGGGCCTGGTGCAAGCGGTAGAGTCTTATCGCCTGTGATCGGAAGGTCCCGGGTTCGAGTCGCGGTCTCCTCGCATTGCACAGGCGAGGGTAAAGCTTGCCACTGACACCCTTCCCCAGACCCCGCATAGAGCGGGAGCTCTCTGCACTGGGTACGCCCTTTTTCGAATACATCATATTCATAACCTGACCATGCTAATCTCATTCTCATACTAACAATTGTTGGATTCCTTTTTGGGTGACCTGTGGTGCTAGGCTCAAATTACTGAACTTTAGCTTTTATTGTTTCTCTGTCTTGACTTATTTGGATGAAGCCATTTCTCTTGAGTACTATCATCTTGAGGAACTAATATCAAGTAGGCTGTTAAATATGTAGACCATAGGCTGCATGTGCTTTTCCTTTATGTTACCCTAGTACTGCAGCCATCAGTTTTACATAGATCAAATTTGAATGCTCATGTTCATCGGTCACTTGGTGTTACTGTTACTCATGCAGCTGCTTTGCTATGTAGTTCAGTACCCAATTTTTTATGCCCCGTACTTGAGGTCACAGATTTTCATCTTCTGTTAGCTGTGTAGTCCATTTAGTGTTAGTCAGGCAGCTGCTTTGCTACTATCAAGGACAAAAATGACCTCTCTAAATACATCGTATTCATAGCCTGACCATGCTATTCTCATTCTCATAGTAACATGATTTGGATTCCTGGTTGTTGACCTGTGGTGCTAGGCTCAAATTACTGAACTTTAGCTATTATTGTTTCTCTGTTCTTGACCTATTTGGATAAAGCCATTTCTCTTGAGTACTAACATCTTGAGGAACTAACTGGAATGGTTGTCCTCCCACAGTACGTGATGGTTGTTCTCAAGGGTTCGGTGCCTATGGCATTTGGAGGTACCCAGGAGCCTGCAGCTTACGGTGAGCTAGTTTCCATCGGAGGCCTGAACCCTGATGTGAATAAGAAGCTTAGTGCTGGCATTGCTTCTATCCTGGAGTCAAAGCTGTCCGTGCCCAAGTCGCGCTTCTACCTCAAGTTCTATGACTCAAAGGTAAGCGACCACTGTTTCTTATTGAGCAAGTGCTCACTCAGTCGTGGGTCCTTTTAACCTTCACCAACGTTCTCATATTAATTTTGTTGTTTGTTAGGCTCATCCTGCACAAGAATATGCTCAATGTTTACATGCTTTGCATCAAGAATAGATGGTTCATTCCATCTCTTTGTTTTGCATCTTCTTGCCTACATAGATGGCATTAAGATCTTCACCGTCCAGCATATTTTCAATGTCATGCTATCCGTGAGCACTCATTGATACATTAATTATGTGATGATGCAGCGCTCGGACTTTGGTTGGAACGGCTCCACCTTCTAGACTTGAGGTCTGCAGCTTAAATAAAAGAAATCCGTGTTACCTAATGCCATGGCTATTGCCTATTAAGAACAATGTCATAAGATGTGTCTTAATTGGTGCTGAACTGAGAATCAGTAACTGCTGTTGTGGAACTCGAAGTGGGATGCAGACGTGTTGAGTGCCTTCTATCATGCTTGTGCTATCTTATTGTTGGCTTGAGATCAGTCTATATTATCTTGGGTTGGTTCTTTCTGTATTGTAACCGTATCTTAAAATAGTGTGTTCTTTGTTAACCTAGCGAAAATCTGCCAAAGCTAGTGTTGTTTTATAGCCTTATGGTTACAGGGGACACTGGCTGGTAACTGAAATTTCTTCATAGCCACAATTTGTTGTTTCAGACTAGTCTTTGCCGTTGTGATTTGCTGGCCTAGACGCCTAGTGGTAGTAGTATACATTCAAGGAATAACGCAAGGGAGGTTTGGTCAAGTATGGTGCAAGAACTTTGCTGGTGTGCTGGCTGTTTCTTCTAGATCCAAGCAAAGTACATGGTGGACTGTTGGTGCTGGACCTACTCTTTTGCTGCCTAACCTGGAAAAGGATACTTCTCTGCTGCCCGAGCTTTCTAGTGTCACAATTTCAGAGCACATTGCGTCGTTACCTTACCTAACCATCAATGTTAGCTGCATCTGCATAAGCACTATGCTGTTTTTCTAGGCAACTGGAGCCTGGAGTACTGCCCAAGTGCCCATGCGACATTTTGAATGAATGTAATAAAAAAGGAACTTTTGATGGAGCCAAAGGAAAAAAATCTCTTCTTTTTAGCTGTTATTACAATTGTCGTCCAGCCACAAATTCTAAGTGTAAAACAAGGAACTTCTTGATGGACTGGAGCCAAACAAACCAACAAATTATTTCTCGACAAAAAAAAAGAAAGAAATAAAAGGCAGATTTTAGGCCATTTTTCACGAGAAAACGTGCAGCTGGTAACTGTTGACCCGTGTGTCGGTGCGGTGCGGCTTGTTTGGCAACCCCGACGGACGGAATTTCCCGACGGACGGGGTCGGTCAGGCCACCATTTGTATTCGCGCCCATCTCCTCTCACTCCGCGTCCTCCCTCTCTCCTCAGATCCGCCAAACCAGCCGAGACAGAGAGATCGCCACATCGCCATGGCCGCGGCCTCGCCTCCGATCCTCCCCACCACGGTGGTCCCGGCCGCCGCACCCTCCTCCGCGGACGCCACCGACACCAACCCAGCGGCGATCCGGGCGTTCCTCTCGCGCCTCCTCGACACCACCCGTCGCGCGCTCTCCGGCGCGCGGCCCTGGTCCGAGCTGGCGGACCGCTCAGCTCTCTCCCGCCCAGACTCCCTCGCGGAGGCCACGTCCCGCCTCCGCAAGAACCTGGCCTACTTCCGCGTCAACTACGCGTCGGTCACCGCGCTGTGCCTGGCCGCGGCGTTGCTGGCGCACCCGTTCTCGCTGGCCGCGCTGCTGCTGCTGCTCGCCGCCTGGTGCCTCCTCTACGTGCTCCGCCCCGCCGACGCGCCGCCCGTCGCCGCGTTCGGCCGCACCTTCTCTGACCGCGAGGTGCTCGGCGGGCTCGTCGCCGCGTCCGCCTTCGTCGTCTTCCTCACGTCGGTCGGGTCGCTCATCTTCTCCGCGCTGGCACTGGGTGCGGCCGTCGTCTGTGCGCACGGCGCCTGCCGCGTGCCTGAGGACCTGTTCCTCGATGAGGTTGTTGACCAGGGTGCTGGTGGCGCTGGTAACCCGCTGCTGTCGTTCATCGCCTCCGCCCCCGGGGGGCGTGTCTGAGTCTCTGTGGTCTAGATGCACACCCTCATGAGTGTGAGAGGTCATTATCATTTCTTTAATTTCTTTCGATTATGCGAAACTATACTACAACACAAAAGATACCTTAGCTAGAGCACACAAGAAAATGAAACATTGGGTTTACTAATCTAGTCGATCTAGTGGTGTCCCCTGTATGAGAAACCAGAAAAGCAGAAAAATCTTCTTGTTATGTTTTTTTTTTGACAAATCTTGTTGGCTCCGTTCGGCTCGCTGAAACTGGCTGAAAAATACTTTGTTGAATTGGTGTGAGAGAAAAAACACGGTTTTGGCTGAAAAAAAAGCCGAACAAGCTGGTTTTTCGGGTAAGCCGAACGGGTATGTCTTGTTATTTATAGCATTATTATATATCTGTATTTTTATGATTACCTATTATGATAATAAATAATCAGTAAACATACAAATTTTGTGTTCAACTCGCACCAATAAAATATATGGTTGCCAGGGCGGTTTGGTTTGCCTCCGACTTAGGGCGTGTTTAGTTTCCAATTTTTTTTTTTGCCTCCCACAGTAAAAGAGCATGTTTGGACACATGCATAGAGTACTAAATGTAGATGAAAAAAACTAATTGCATAGTTCTCGGTAAAATCGCGAGACGAATCTTTTAAGCCTAATTAGTCCATGAAAAGTCTTAAATGCTACAGTACCCACATGTGCTAATGACCAATTAATTAGTATCATTAGATTCGTCTCGCAGTTTCTTGATGTGTTCTGTAATTTGTTTTTTTTATTAGTATCCAAAAACCCTCTCGACATCCTTCCGACACATCCGATATGACACTAAAAATTTTTCGCCTCCTCAACTAAACACACCCTTAGAGTTGATGCCTTGCCTTCGTCGGACCATGGACTACACACTTAAATTGCTACTGTTGTGCAATAAGGACCCTCCCATGCTGCCTCAGGTATGATTTTCTCTATTATGTGGTGTCTTTTGAAAGCACACAATGATCATAGATTCAACAACATAAAGGCCCCGTTCGCTTCGCTGAAAAAACAGCCAGAACGTTGTTCCGACTGATTTGTTGTGAGAGAAAAATACTGTTGTGACTGAAGTACGGATTATAAGACAAGCGAACAGGACCAAATTGGTCGGTTTCTAGAGTCCTACATGAGGCAAATGCAATTGACAAAGCTTATTGTATGGCTATTGAGCAGGACCCTGTTACGCATATTCCTCCACAACCTAGGCTCACATGCTTACAGATTTCAGTTGGTCCTAGAATTATTTGTGATGCCTCTGTAGGCATACAAGGAGCCACCACGCCAAACCAAACAGACATTGGGATTTTCATTCTCACAACCCTTGCAGAAAGTGTTTTCCATTGTCGGTGTTTTGTAAACCTGACTAGTAAATTTATACGATTGCCGCGCTGTTCTAGAAAGATGATGGTAGCATCCAAATGACACGAGGATTTATACTGGTTCAGGCCGGAGCCCTACGTCCAATCTCAGAGATGATCGATTGCGTGTTCCTCTCTTAAATGCTCTGAAGTTCTTACAATGGGGATACAATAATGGTGGAAAAAGGTTGGAGAGCTAGAGCTAGGAGATGGACTGCCTGAAGGGAAGCTTCTGGAGCCCTACTACGATGGAGAATGAGTAAAATGGTAGAGGATCAGAGTCTCCCTAGATAGGTGCCCTGACTACCTTTATATAGAGTTCGGAGCCAGGACGTGTACAGAGGAGGTTCTCCCGACTGAAGGGTCGTGAGCCTGAGGGAGGTCCTAGCTAACTTGGCTTGCAAGCTACGCCGTCTTGTGGTGCACGTTTGGGCGTGGTTGTCGTCATGGTCCTGTGGCCACGTCGCGGCATGGTGTGGCATGATGTTACTGTGCCGGCCATGGCGGCACTGTAGGCACGGTGGTGGTTCGTCAGCCGTCCTGTGCGACGTGGTCTCCGCCATGGTCTTCGTCATCGTCTCCTGATTTCCTGGGCGTCGTACAGGAGTTGGTAGCCGCCCCCGGGTCGTTGATTGCCTCGTTGGCTTGAGGAGTGAAGGGCCACGATCCCGATCATTGGGGTCGTGGCTCCCGCCGGTCTAGCTAACCTCTAAGTCAAGGCCCTCATCGTGGATCCCATCCCCTATTGGGCAGGATCGTACATGCGTCTTGTCGAGCCATATCTGGCTGGTGGTCATTGTACCAGCCGTCACCGCTTTGGGCGGTATTGTCTTTTCTGGATTGCATGGTGCAGGGGTGGCGTCTGACCGGACCGAGGTGGCCGCTGTCCCCTCGGTCCCTGCGAGGTCAGTGCGGCGTGCTTATTCTTGTCAAAGCAGGCACACTTGGCTTCGCTCGACCTCTCTCTGTTCCTCCCAGGGGTTGGGACGGGGATAGGTCGTGCGCCTACCAAGCGTTGTGCGGCTAAGGCAGGAGGAAGACATCGTGGCTGGCCCTGGCCTTAGTGTCCGGCCTGGTTTACTTAGCTTAGCTGGGCCTTGGTCGTTCAGGCCTTCGCTAGCTGATATATTATAGGCCACATGGCCTACTGACTAATCAGTGTCTTGAGATACCTCGGGGTTATAACCCTGATAGTAGCCCCCGAGTGTTTTTGCGATCATGAAGTGATCGTGAAAGCACTGAGATGCGTGTGCGTTTGTGCGCGGGTTCCTAGTAGTGGCCTGCTCGAGCTTCGTCGCTCGACCCCTCGCGGGCTAGCGCGTTCAATGCAGTAGGTGGCCGTTGCGTCTCGCCACATCAAGATGCCCTGACGACGCGGTATGCGACTACGGAGCCCAGCCGTGTCAGTGTGCCACGTTTCGGGGTTAGCGACCCAGACGGATCCGAGTGGTCACATCGACGCTGTACCGGCCCTGCCTTTGGGAGGGTCTCGATTTCCCCGACCTCACGCGGGCATCTGACATTGGCTATGACCTTCCGTAGTTCGCCACGTGGCACGGGGGTCTCATGTCTTGAAAGCTCTAGTTTGGTTTTGGTTAATTGATGAAACCCTAAGTGCTAACCTAGTTTATCAAAGTGACTATGAGATAGGTAGCACTACTCCAAGTGATGAAGCAATGGCGAAGATCATGACGATGGTGATGGCATGGTGATGATCAAATGCTTGAACTTGAAAAAGAAGAAAGAGAAAAACAAAAGGCTCAAGGCAAAGGTATAAATAGTAGGAGCCATTTTGTTTTGGTGATCAAGACACTTAGCGAGTGTGATCACATTTAGGTTAGATAGCCGTACTATTAAGAGGGGTGAAACTTGTATTGAAATGCGGTTATCAAAGTGCCACTAGATGCTCTAACTCATTGCATATGCATTTAGGATCTAGTGGAGTGCTAACACCCTTGAAAATGCTTTGTGAAAATATGCTAACACATGTGCACAACTTGGTGGTTGGCACATTTGAGCAAGGGTTAGAAACCTCACCGATGGAGTGTCCGCCCGTAGAGTGCGGACAGTCCAACGGTGCCACCGGCACCCTAGACAAAAAAAGACGAAGGTCACTATAAGTGACCGGACGCTGGTCTTGGTTGGACTAGCGCGTCCAGTCAGTGGTAGCAGAGGGCGCGTGTTTCGGTCTTTGACCGGACGCTGGTGCTAGAAGTGACCGGACGCTGGCAGGGTGCGTTCGGTCAATGCTGGCGTACGCTGACGTGTGGTGCAAAGTGGAGACATTGAGTGACCGGATCGCTGGGTGAGTCCGGTCGAGCATGACCGGACGTGTCCGGTCGTGATTTTGCGCGAATGGAACCTTACTGGAAACGACCGGACGCTGAGGTCCAGCGTCCGGTCACCTCGCAGCAGCGCGTCCGGTCATCACTTAACCGTTGGGATCGGGCGCTCAGTATTTGAAGAGAGGGGACACGTGGCGTGTATCGCGCAACTGGACGCTAGGGTCCAGCGTCCGGTCAATCTGACCGGAGCGTCTGGTTGGCCCGTGTTCAGTGCAGTGAGTAGCACAATGGCTCTATTTCGCAGGGGCTTCTATTTAAGCCCCATGGCCGGCTCAAGCTCACTCTCTTGGCCATTTGCATTGATATAGCAACCTTGTGAGCTTAGGCAAAGCCCTCCCACTCATCTCCATCATTGTTTCATCATCATTGTGAGATTGGGAGAGAATCCAAGTGCATTGCTTGAGTGATTGCATCTAGTGGTACTTGGCATTCGTGTTTCGCTGCGGGATTCACTTGTTACTCTTGGTGGTTGCCACCACCTAGACGGCTTGGAGCAGCAAGGATCGTTGAGTGGAGGTTGGTTATTGTCTCCGGCTCCGATTGTGGTGATTGTGAGGGGTCTTGTGCCTTCCCCGGTGGAGAGCCGAAAGGTAACTCTAGTGGATTGCTCGTGTCATTGAGTTACCTCACTTGTGGATAGGTTCTTGTGATGTCCAATTGTGTGGAAGAGGTTCGTGCAACACCTCTTAGCCGCTGAACCACCAAGTGTTGGTCGACACAATGGGGACTAGCGTGCCGGCAAGCACGTGAACCTCGGGAGAAAAATTGGTTGTCTCTTCCCCTTTGGTATTCTTCCGGTGATTGATTTAGTATTCATCTTGTAATTGGTTCACTCCTCTACACGGCGGTATAATCACCCTACTCACTCATTTATATTCTTGCAAATTAGTTGTAGCAAGCTCTTTAGTGTAATTAGAATTGAGAGCTTGCTTTGTTATTTTAAGTTCATCTAGTGGAGCTCTTTAGAGTAGCAAGATTGAGAGCTCTTAGTGAGTAGTAATATTGCAAGTTGTGTGCCTAGTAATCATTGCAACTAGAATTGTTGGATAGGTGGGTTGCAACTCTTGTAGAGCTAGAGCAAGTTTGCATTTCGCTATTTGTCATACTAATCAAATTGCTCTAGTTGATTTGTAGATTTTTAAATAGGCTATTCACCCCCCCTCTAGCCATATTAGAACCTTTTAGCTGCTTAGTCCGCCCTTGGGCCTATAAATATAAGCCTTCCTTCTGTTTGAACCACTCATGGCTGTAACTTCGAATCGTTCCCTACCTTCCT